TACATGAAATAGGGACAATACACTTGTTTCCAGCCTGGTGTGGTGTTGCATGTAATTTGGGAGGTGGAGGCAGGAGACTATAGAGCAAGTCTGAGTCCAGCCTGGGCTACATGAGACTTTCTGAAAAACAAAAATTATAGATAGATAGGAAGACAAACAGATGGTAGATAGATAGATAGATAGATAGATAGATAGATAGATAGATAGATAGATGTAGATAGGTAGGTAGATAGATCAGTAGATAGGTAGGTAGGTAGGTAGATAGATAGATAGATAGATAGATAGATAGATAGATAGATAGATAGATAGATAGATAAGTAGATATAGGTAGATAGATAGATTCTGTATACTTTGTTTAAAAGTAAATATACATGAGTAAGAGCTTCTCAGAGCCACAGGGTGAGTGACAAGGTTGAAACCCAGAAGCCAGTGTGGGGCTAAGTTTACCTCAATCCCTATATGTCCTCTAGGGCATTCATTCAATGAGATATAAGAAAAGAGATGACATACATTTCAAAGATTAAAAATGTGCAACCTGGTAAAAGCCATTTCAAAATTCATTCAACCCTGGTTAACTTGGGAGGTGGGGAAGCCTTTTGGCAAAGCCTGGTTGAGCTGTATGGCCCTGGCTGCGATGGGGCAGGTAAGGGACCCCGATCTGGCATCAAACTCAGAGTTTATCAGCTGCTGCAGGCGGCTCTGTTCATTGACCACAGGGCTCTACCCTTGTGAGTGTCCCAGAATAGCTGCTGCTACCTGAGAGCAGTCTGTCCTCAGGGACTCGTTATTGTCCCAGATAAACAGCGAAGCCTCTGCCAGCACGTAATGGCTGTATTTAACTCTGATAAGTGATGGGCAGCCGTGCGCAAGTGAGTGGATTTCTACCAGGGCCAGGATACTTGGGCGAAGGCAAGCCGGCCTGGCAGTGGGCATTTCTTGCCTATCATAGGGTTGATGCCAGGGGGTTATAGACACCAGAGAACAATTATGACAGACAAGAGGGGCCTTGCCTTTAATAAATAAGCAAGGCAGGACAGGCCTACTAGATTTTGAATATGCAAATTACAAAGATATTTAAGAAATGAAACAAAAATAAAAAGCTGGATACTAGCCTAGATTAAAAGAGGCATGCTTCCAGGCAAAGATGACATCTTACATCACATAAAGGCTACCCTGGAACTGTTGGGTTTGAAATGAGACCATTTTTTTTCCTCAGAGACACTGCAAGTGGGTTGTCTAGAATTTTCTAAAATGCAACAGCCTCCTGCATCTTAGGCTGTAAATCAGAGAGGTATAAGTGGGAATGTTCGTGTTTGGTAAATTCTTCTAATTCTCCTAATTCGAATTAGAAGAATTTACCAGCGTCAGGCTCAGTTTTGCTCTTAGCCCTTTGAAAAATTTTCTGTGGGAAAGGAAGATGGATAATTAAATTACGTTTTTAGTCAGGCTTCCCTTGTGAACTTGCCAGGTGGACAGAGTATCTCTCAGCCCTTTTAGTGTGTGATTGTCATTCCGTGAGAGCCGCTACACTCTTCTGGGTAGAAGGGGAAGGCATGTCTGGAATTTGACGACAGCTGGCCATCCATATTCCATAGAAACCAAGCATGGTAGTTCTAGGATTTGTATGTGGGAAATACACAGCACAAGACATGGGTGTGTGTGTGTGTGTGTGTGTGTGTGTGTGTGTGTGTGTGTGTTATTCCAGGAAACATGGATGATACCCTGCCTTTAGACAAACCCATTCAGAGAAAACACAAACTGTAAGGTTCAAGTGTGGACACTTTCCCAGAATCCTTTGCATTCAGAGGCACTCCAGAAATCTCTGCCACAGGAGTGTGTTTGTACATGCACACACGTGTCTGTGGGTACTCATGGCCACTCAGAGAAAAAGAATCAAACTCTGGACTTGAAGACCCAGAAAGGGCACCTTGCTTATGTAGTGACAACAGATTATTACCTAGTTGCTTAAGTTGCAAGACTATGTATTTTGTACTGGGTTTTGTTGAAGGTGCCCTAATCAGCCTGAGAAAGATAAGAGATGTGGTAGGAAGCTCCTCTCCAGCTTCCCTCAGCAAGCCGTAGGGAAGAGCCAGTAAGAAGCATGTCCAGGAACACACAGACAGCTAGGATGGGGACGCGGGCCTGCCTCTCCTGTTTCTTGTACTTTCCATTCTTTGCAGATGATGATATTTAGACACTGGGGACAGTTTTGCCATGGGAATCCTCTATGTGGCCAAGGTCCTTAGCTTTCTGACATGGCCACTTTCTAAATCTCCAAGACTGTTTCTCCCTTTCTCTTGAGGTCTCCATATGTTCCCGGCCAATGAGAACCAGGAAAGTGAAGCCCAAGCACATTCATGTGTCATGTGTCTGCGGGTATTCATGGCCACTCAGAGCAAAAGAAACAAACTCTGGACTTGAAGACCCAGAAAGGACACCCATTGCCTGTGTCACCAACAAGGGGGCTGCCTTGAACCAATGGAAGAGGCTGACTTTAGTACCAGCCCCACCTCAAAAGTTGCCCTTGGCCTTTGGGGATGTCCCAGGTGCACATGTGTGCGGAGAGAGAGGAAGGGCACACATGGTCTCCTGCGGGCGCTCTTAAAATAAGCTCCGTGGAAGTAGGCTTGCAAAACAGCAGGCCTGGGTCTGCAAAAAATAGAACACCATGCAGCTGCACCCTTTGGAACTTGGGGGGAAAACACATATTATTTACCAGACAATAATAGATACCAGAGAATAATAATGATTATTATAGTGTTTGGGATGGCAAACGCTGTACTTAAGGTTCCAGAATGGCTCTCATTATAAGCCCGATTTCCCAGTCTCTTATGAAAGCCTAGACATTTTCTCCACATAGGCTGGTGCTGGGCATATTTGGTTCTTGTCCAATGGTGATTTGAATACAAAGACACTTATTTGAGAGATATTCCTCTCACACCCCCCCCCCACTTTGGGTTGTGATTGCATTAAAGAAAAACACTATATACATCATAGAACAAACAGTTGCAACAATTAAAAAATGGTGGTGTCTCCCAGTCACTAGAAGGAAATGCTAAAACCCCTCCGTTTTTCTTTTCCCTTTAAAAGAAAGAATTTGGACACTCCCCCCACCCCCATCCCTGCCTCGCAACTCCAAGATGTGGTCACTCTTGGTCCCAGGCCCAAAGGTAGGGATATTCCCCCTCCTCCTCAGTAGCCTGAAGGCTGTGCTTGACAGAGCAAAAGATGTGTCCCCAGAGGAAGTGGTTCTGTGTCTTCTAATCCCTTTCCATTGCTCTGTTCTTCTGCATTCTCCTAGACTTCTGATGTGCCCTCTATCTTGATGATTTTGTTTTGGGGTCTCATCCTCCAGACAGAAAGGAGGGCTGGAGGAGGCGAACTCTGTATAGATAAACATCCTCATATCCAAACCTGCCTGTGCCGAATGAAAAGATTTCCATGGCCTTGTGATTCCACCCCCCGTTGCATATTTGTGGCCTTTTGCATTTTCACTTTGGTTATTTAATATACATATTAAATGCACACGGATCTGGTGATTTAATATGATTTGGGGAACTCAGGCATTTCCTGCCGTGCACACTGAGAATTTCAAACCTTGTTTTTGGCTGATGATTATTATCATTGCCATTAACACCAGGATTTGGACAGCAGGGTTCAAAGCGGGGCTGCTGCTGAGTCTTCCCAGCAGGCAGCTGACCTTCCGCTCTCAAGCTAAAACCCTGGTTCCGCACACCCTGAGTGGATCTCTCGGGCTCTACAGCTTCCATTTCTCCTTCTATAAAGTGGAATTGTCATGTTTTATCTCTGGGGGCTCCCTTTGACTCCTAAATTGTATCACCTGTGTGAAATTATTTGTTCATTATTCTGAGAACAATCTCAGCGGTTGTAAAGATGTTTGTGTGTCTTGCATTAGTTGCCACTTCACATTTGCCAAATTTTAGCCTTTTGTGTTTCTGACAGCCACATTTATTGGCAGAGGGACTCTCTTTGGGGACATAGTGGAAGACAGCTGCTTAACTCATCCTTTTAACAAGACATGTGGAACACCGATGACCAGCTAGCTAGCTAATGCAGAGGAAAGAGGTAGACAGGCCGGGGCCCTCGGGGATGTCACAGTTTGCAGGCAGGCTTCTCAATGGCTGCTTTTGGGGAATGCCTGACTCTTCACAAGGCCCTGCTTCAGATGAAGGGCCTGGCAGCAAGCAACAGAAGGCCTTAAGGATGCAGAGGAGTGTGTAGTGAACGTAGGGATGGCATTCCCCAGAACTAGTTTGAAAGTTCGGTTTGGACTTTCTGGCCATGTTCACCAGACATGTGTGACGTGCTGTCTGCGCATCTTGTACTCCCGTGTTGCTTGGATGTGAGGAATTCTGGTGGCTGACCTTTGACAGGTCAGAATCCCAGATGGGTAAGCTATTTCTTCCAGCTTAGTTACCTCCGTAGGAAATTCTGAAGAGAGGGGTATGTGACTGCGTGTATGCATGTGTGTGTGTGTGTGTGTGTGCATGTGTGCTTGCTTGTGTTTGTGTGTTTTCGATCAGTATATTTTTATTTACTACTCCTTGAGACCTCAGTCCTCAAACACCAGAGTTAATATGTAAAGGTTTGCAGATCTGGGACCTCTCTATGACTTTGCCCGTTTTGGGAGTGACCCTACGGGACTCCACAGACCTCCTGCTGGTTAATCATGTCATGTGGAGGCTGGTTGCAAAGGATGCTGTGGTCTTCGGAGAGGGCGTGGTCCATCGTGCTCAGTATGGTTTTCCAAAGAGGGCTCGAGTTTCAGTTGCTCACACAAAGCTGGCAGGGCTGAGCCCGAGCAGACTGAATGAAGCTCTCTGAAATCATGCGGCTGGGACTCCGCTTTGGGGGAACTGGGGCTGGGAGCTGCAGCTCTCTCCTGGCTGGTTCTCTGCAGCGAGTCAGGGTGGGAGGAGGTGGGTGGGTGGGGAGAGATTTGGTCTGGTGCATTCTCATGGTTCCTTCTCTTTTCCCAGGAACACCCGCTCCCAGGGTACCTTGCATGGAGAGAGGGCGTGGAGCAAATCCTGTCATGCCATCCAATGACACCAGCTGGTCAGCTCACCACCCCCCTCTGGCTAACGTTCAAGCAAATAACACAGCTTCCTGTCATTAAACATCTTGGAGGAAGCAGCCCTCCCTGGTGGCCTCTAGGCCAGAGAAGCCAGCAAGTCTTGGACCCACCGAGCTCGGGCCCAGCATTCCTGCTCCTTCCATCTCTGCTTCTCCCCAGAGGAACTTAGGGATTTCGCTGGTTGAAAACAAACAAACAAACAAACAAACACCACCAACACGCCACAAGGACCAATGTAGGTATTCTCCTCACCCCATCTTCAAGGCTGTACGACTGAGGCCGGAAGATGTTAGGGACTGGAAAACAAGAGTCTTTTTTAAATCTTTTTAAGAACTTCTGTGGTTTGCTGCTACGATGAGAGTTGTGATTTGCTTTTATGGTTTAGGAACAGAGCTGTTCACGTTTTCTGGTGAGGAGAAGCGATGGTGCTGGAGTCCCAAAGCTTCAGATGCATCTGCCCCAGCCCACGATGCACTTTTAAATGAAGAGGTAGAATATTTTATTGGCTAATATACTTTTCATGTTATTTTTTACAAAGGCCACCTTTATCCTTTTTGATGCCATATTTTCAGTGTTACACTTTTATGGCTTTTAATTTTCGATCCGCCAGATGTAAGAAGCAGCATGGATAGTTTATACTGTGGTTTTACGGAGACCGAATGCCAAGAGAACTCGGTAAATGTTTCTTCTTCTCAGCTTTCTCTTGAAATGCCCCTAAATAGCGCCCCATTTGGGAACAGAGAGTGAGTGTCGAACTGAAGACCAAAATGCCCTCAAGGTGTAATATAATCTGAGGGGGGGGGGGATATTTGCTGGGCGTCAGGAGAGACTCGGATGAAATTTCAACCCTGATGGTTTTCGGAGATCCAGGAAGTCAGTGAGACAATCTCTCTATACGCAGAGCCCTTTCATGATAATTAGAATGGTATGGGCGAACCAATGAAAACAAGAGGAAAGTGAGAAAGATCGCCCAGGATTCTGTTTCACTGTTTGCTTTCTCCTGTCATGCTTAAGAGAAATGTGCAATTCGATCCTCGATCAGCGGGTGGAGGATAACAGGGTAGATTTACTTGTGTGCACTTGTACAGTTGTAGCTGCGAGTCCAGAGTCCTCTAGAACATGTGTGCCGACGCTGAGTTGGCGAGACAGTCGTGGAGTGCCCCAGTCTGATGAGAAAAAAAGAAAAGAAAAGGAAAAAAAATTTAAAAAAAAAAAGAGAAGAAAACCTTAAAAAAAAAAAGTCAAATCAAATCACCTTGTGATTCAGTGTATCTGTTTACTAACTCAAATAAAAGCAATTGTTCCCTCTGGAGGGGTCTGGGTGCCCCACCCCTCCAGGCCATGGAGCCTCAGCAGGAGGGTGGCGGTCATGGTGGGAGGGGAAGCAGGGCTGGCCTCTCTGGTCGCAGCACTGGGGCCGCAGATGCGTGTACATACTGTATTTCTATGCCCTCCTTTGTACAGTCGAGTCAGGCTGCTGTCTTACAGGTGCTCCTTATTTATTAGAGCCGTCAGAGCTTGGGGGACACACCTGGCGAGCAAGCTCGCTTTTTAAACATGAAATCGGGGGTGGGGGGTGGGGGAAAAGGGAGGCGGGAGGGAGGTAGCGCTCTCAAGCCCAGGGAGAGGTTTATAAAAGGGAATGGAAAACCTTCCAACAGCAAATTAAAGCAGCCAACAGCCCACCACCAAACCCACCTGTGAGGAGGCCGCAGCCCCTCTGGGTGCTCCTTTTCCCGCGGTGTCAGATTCGTCGGACGAAATAAATCTCTGAGAAACGACGACGCACTTACATGTGCTTATTTGCCTTCTCTCATTATTATGATCTTTGTTGGTATGTGTCTCGCGACAGAAAGTATTTCTCCGTGCCCCCTCCGTCCCTGGGAACAGTGTTTAAAATAAGACGATCGAGTGCGGGGCCGCATGGTCCTGTCTAAGGCACTAAGGACCTTGCGTCTCTGTGGCCCACAGCCCACACTGTCATTTCAGGGCCACTGGGCACAGCCTGGTGTGTGCACAGGGAGCTCCCAGTCCTGCAAACTCAGCTGTCCGTGTGCCTAAGTCCTGGCTTCAGTTCTGAGACACTGAATCTGAGATTCAGGCGGTGTCCTGTGACGGGCACGAGCACTTGGCGTGGGTCCCACTCACTCCACAACCCATCTCCCTCCATTTGACCCCACCTTGTCCCTCTTGCTCCACGGATTCATGGGGGCCTTGGGTTGCAGCCTTGCACGGGTGGAATGGGTTCATCTGAAAACACCTGAGTTCAGCATCAGGAGATCCCTAAGGTAAAGCAAGCACCAGTTGTGGTAAGCAGTGTAAACTGAGTCCAGGCCTCAGATTCTGTGTGTGAAAACAACACACCTTCAAACTTAGAAAAGCACCTGGGTGTCCATAATCCCACAACTAGTTGACAGAGTGTGTCAAAAACAAATGTTCATTAAAATGCTAGACACTGCTGACTGGTCAACGTGGTCAGCTCTTGGAGCCTAGAAGGCTGGTTTCTGCCTCTTCCGGGGCCTGGAAAGCGCTTGCAGGCTTCCAGTTGAAGGCTGCATTTATGGAAGTGACTCCATGTGAACTGGACAGGGGCAGGCCTAGTGAGGATAAAGACATGTCAAGGCCCAGGGCACTTTGTGTGGCTGTCTGGGTCAAAGTCCCTGCTAGCATTATTCATCTAGACTTGGCCGTAGAGACAAGCATCCAGGATATTGATCTTGCTTTTGTCTGCCATCCAAGATTGTCGAGCAAACATTTTGACCCTTCTGGAAACAAAAGGTACCTTTGTTCCCACAGGAAGAGTCTGTGGCATCTCATTAGCCACCGGTGCCCTTTTCCTCCTCCTCCTCCCTCCTGATCCTGGTGTTCTCTGAATGTATCCCTCTCCCGGGCTGTCAGAACCACATACAAAGAGAAATAGAACAATTATGGAAGCAAGAAGCGGCATGTGTTAAGCACATGAACAGCAGCCTCTCTTCCTCTTCATAGCAACCAGGGAGGAAAAGCCTGTTTTCCTTTCTCACGGGCAAAGGAGTAAGAGCTCGTGTGTTTAGTTATCTTCCAAGGTCACACAACCGGTAAATTGCAAGCCTCGCTAGACCTGAATCTGACCTGGGGGAGGTGGCTAACATTCTCAGGAAGAGGCACTTTGACGTCATTTAGGTTTGGAGCAGTGAGTAGTGGTGAGTGGTGGCGGCACACGCCTTTAATCCCAGCAGAGGCAGGCAGCTCTCTGTGAGTTCAAGGTCAGCCTGGTCTACATAGTACGTTCTAGGCCAGCCAGGGCTATGTAGAGAGACACTGTCATAAAAAAAGAAAAAGAAAATACAGCAGTGGATCAGTTGTTTCTGGAAGTGGCCTTTGTTCTGCTCAACCTGTGGGTTAAGACCTTTTTGTAGGTCATTGCTTTTGCAGGGGTCACCCAAGACCATCAGAAAGCACAGATATTTATATCACAGTTTAACACAGGAAGAAAATTGCAGTTATGAAGTAGCAATGAACATAATTTTATGGTTGGGAGTCAGCACGCCTTGAGGAACCGTATTAAAGAGGCTCAGCAGAAAGAAGGTTGAGAACCACTGTTTTAGACTAAACTGTGGGGTAAGTGTTGGAAGGTATTGTCTATGGCACCTTACTGGAAGTGAGGCCGCCCTGAGTCCATTCTGTTCTGAGAATGGCTGTATTGTTCTTCAAAGAAGTTGAATGTGTGTGTCAAATCCCACGCAACACACTGTCCATGCCTGATGCCTCGGTCAGACTAGAGAAGAATGAAGCTCACAGGCTTTGTCCCAGTGGCTTCTCATGCTTACCAGGAAGACAGGACTGGGAACAAGATGGACCATTTCTTGGTCTCACCAAGACATTGCTTGGATGTTTCCTGGGGTTTAGATAGTTGGACCTCTGGACCCTGCAATGACAGCTTTGAAAGCCACCTTTCCTCACATTCCTTGCTTTGCAAGTCCAGCTGGAGCTGCAAGCAGGCCCTAAATGTCAGTCACAGACCCAGTGGACGCCTAGAAGCCTTCCAACTCTACCGACTCCCTCCCCATGGCCAACCTCACCTACAGCTCGTGTCTGAATTGGGAGTCCTGCTCTCTCCATGTCCTGTGCCTCAGCTTCCAAAGGCTTTCCTTTCTCCCACTTAGGTAATTCCCACAGCCTCTGCTCAGAGCAGCTTCCCTGCCTCCTCCCCAACATGGTGACCTCTGTGCCCATGCAGGCCATACTGCCTGTTCAGCCACGCTTCTCTGTGTCCTTTCTAATACGGAGTCTTTGAGAGTGGGGATCAAGTCTTATTGGCCTCATTTGCTAGTCTCAGTACATGGGAAATCATCATTATTGTAAATATCTATAACCCACTGCTTTCAAGTTTCTTCCATAGCCAGCTCTATACAAAGGCAAGCATGACTCCCTCAGGTACAATAGGTAGCTTTCCTCCAGGGCCCTGTGCCTCCCATCTAAAGGGACTGAAGTCCCTTCTGGTGTCCTCAACGGGGCAGTCATCCCATATCCTCTGGGCTCCTCAGAGGTGGGTTCTGTGGCTCACCTCACCCTGTATCTGGAAGAATTGCTGAGCACCCTGAGACTAGAAGGTGCTGGCTGAGTAGAAGCCCTTTGATCCTGCCAACCAGTGCTAGAAGATGTGGACGGTAGAATCTCCTAAGAAGAGGCATGTGCAGCAAGTGCTGGAGACTAGAGCTTCATGTTGTCTTCCGGTTTCAGTGCAGAAGAGGGCACAGTGGCTGCCCTGTGTGCAGAAGGCATGGTTACCACTCCTGTGTACAGAAGAGGGCGTGGTTTCTGCCCCCGTGTCCCTGTGCTGAACAGTGAGTTGAGGTCACAGAACAGTAACACTACATCCAGAAGAGCCTTACAACTAAGATCATGCCTTGTTGTTATGCTCATTTGCAGATGATCACTTAGATTACAAACCCAGAAAGGGACTCTTATTCTGTTACCCAACAAGCAGTTGCCACACATGACACCCACCTAGTGAAGGAAGAACCTTGCTGGGGATATAGCTCATCCATTAGGGATTCACTCCACAGAGAGCAGTGTGGTAGGGGCTCCATTCACATTCACATTACCTCTGAGCATCAGCATCAGTACCATCATCACCAACATCATCATCCTCACCACTACCACTACTGCCCAAGTATCACTATCACCATCAGCATCATCATCCTCATCACTACCACTACCCCCCACCCAGTATCACCATCAACAACATCACCATCCCCACATCACAGCTAAAGAAACAAGCACACAGATGAAGGGATTTCCCCACCAAGGCACAACCCAGCAGGGGCTCCAGTGCCGAGCAGATTTAGTCAGCCTGAGGCACCTGGTAATTATAATCAAAGAGTTCAGATCATCTCCACGGTGCCTACACAGTGAGCATAAGATATAAAGGTATCGAAGGACCTTCATTGTGTCTGAGTAGAAAAAGAAAATCTACTTTCTCTGGCACCTAGTTCCAAACAAGACCAAGTATATGGCTATCTTAGGTAATGGGATATTGTCCCAGGGACATTGAGGTGTGTACATTAGGGCTCTGCCAGCAACTCAGAGAAAGCAATGAGAAGTGAGGGTCGCTTTGTTACCCACGTTACATTTCCTGGGACAGGAAGAGCAGGCTACCTGGGAATGGAGACTCTCAATTTTTCACTGTTTTATTTTTTTTTTAAACTTCAAACTAGGGTTTCTCCCATGGCACATAACTATTGGGTGAACGACTGTTAAAGACAGGCCAGTAGGGCAGCATCACAATGGGGCTATGGCCTGGCTTACCAGGCAACGGAGAACTGGACAGATAGAAAATGTTAAGATTTCTGTGTGCCGGACACTACCACGGTCACGGGGACCAGCTTGGGCAATTCTTGGTGTGAGCCTCATTTCTGGGTAAGGAAAATACAACGCAGGTGGGGTCAGAGACCCTGAACCCTGTGCTCCAAGCAGAGGGCTCTTTTGAAGGCTGTAGGAACACTACATGACTCCAGCTCAGCTAGTCCCTCAGTTTGCGCGGATCCAGCCAGTGGGATCTGTATCTGGTGATCGCCCTTCAATCTGCAGCCAATGCTAAGACAATGGAGGAGGCTCTCCTTTCCCCACGCGCAGATCTGAGTCTCACCAGCAGGCAATGAAGTCTCAGTGGTCACTACTTTCAATTTTAGTGAGCAGAGGTCCAAAGCTGGCGAAGTGCTTCAGGGTTGCTGGGCCTGTGAGGTAGGTGCCCTCATCCACATTTCACAAGCAAGGAAGGCAAGCACACAGAGACTAGCTGCAGAGCCCAGAACCACGTCCAGGCAGCCAAACACCTCATCCTACCCAGCGTGCTTGCGCTGGGCCATCCTTCCGTGGAAGGGAGGATTTCTGCGTACACGAGCGTTTGTGTGACCAAGTCCTCCAACAGCATCACATTCACAAATGCCGTCTCATTTCTGAGGATGATGCGGGTGCCGATCTTGGAAGCTGACACAGAGGATGTAAAAGTAATTCCTTATCCCCTGGGCGATAGAAAGGACCAAATACCTCCATCTCTTTACTTGCGGAGCCTCCAGCAAATTCTTATCTTAAATGAGTGGTCTGCTTTGCGGATGTCACCAGTTTCTGAAGCCAGTACGTAAGAATGTTTCCGAGGACGCTCCTGTAATTCTCTGCTGTGCTGATTTCCCCTCACGGAAAATCAGCCATGAGCACAAAGCGAGTGTCTATTGTGTGTCAACGGGCGCATTTGGTGGGCAGGCTCCTGGCCCCTCTGCCTGCCACCCACGGTCTGAGCAATGGACTGGA